TTCATCACAGAACACTCTTCGAGATCTCGACGTCTCTGCTGACTGGCTTCAATATTAACTTCTAGAAAAAGAACGGACTATTGTCTCACGTGCACTGACACTGTCATTGGATGAGTTCCGATGCTGGGAGTCCCAGGCTGGGGCACGAAATCAAAATGTTTACTTCCAGTCAGTAGGGAACTGGAAGCCGGTGGTCCTTATTCGTGCCCCAGCCTGGGACTCCCAGCATCGGAACTCATCCAATGACAGTGTCAGTGCACGTGAGACAATAGTCCGTTCTTTTTCTAGAAGTTAATATTGAAGCCAGTCAGCAGAGACGTCGAGATCTCGAAGAGTGTTCTGTGATGAATGCTTATCCTCAATAGGGACTCCCAACAATGTCACGATTTGTTAGGGCCCTGAATATGACCAACATTTTTTGCGCTATGATGGGCGCCAAATTCACCTTCACTTTTTCCAACCCTGAGGGTGGTGGCACAGAAGATGGCGCCTTCACACGCCGAGCGAAGGGAAGCTCACTTCCCTGAATCTTCGTATCATACAGTTTTCCAATGCGCACCTGACAGAAGCTCACATAGGATATTCAGTCACAACAGCACTGCGTACAAGTTGGTCAATATCAGTCCGACACTTAGGGCAACAACTGCCTCCAACTGCCTCATTGCTCGCTATGTTGACCGCACAAGACTAGCAAATTCCAGCATGTCCACAGGGTAGAATAACCTACCATAGAATGCCATAGATCTCTACTAAAATCGATTAATTCACTCACCATATCTCCGGAATTATCGAGGCACACAGAACAAGGCGACATAGTCGTTGCTCGAACTTCACTGCTCACAGGGACTACTCCTGTTGCGTTGTCCAAAATGACCTGCGAATACCCAACTAGGCGTCTTCTTCCGAGGAGATGCGTGAGCCGACCTTCGGATCAGAAACGGTGCTCAACCTGCGCTCTCCTGCCACCCAGTGAACTCTGTTGACAGAGCGACACGTTTCGCAAACAAACACGTTGGCGTGTGGCCTGACCGAGAACACTTTCGAGGCCTCAATGTGGACGATTACAGTAGCGGTTGAACTGCATGACAAACATCACCAGCGACTTGGTCGGTGACCACTAGTGGTTGTTTTTTCTTCGATTTAGACTTCGCCACGCATAGTGAGCAGCAGGACAACTTTCCTCCCATGTTGCGAACACACGGGAGCTGAGACAAGCCCGAATACACACTGTGTGAGTATCCCGACACACACCCTCACAGTATTGTTGGAGTAGGAATATATGTTCGCTTTCTTCAGCTGAGCTCAGGAATTTCCTATACAGTTTTGGAGTAGGAATATATGTTCGCTTACCTCAGCTGAGCTCAGGAGTTTCCAAAGCTAATTATAGAATTGGGGTAGAAGTGTACAGAAATCAACAAGAATTTCCCAAAATTTCCTCAGAATTTTCATACTAGCACCAACACATTTGCACAACTCGACAGAGCTGTTTCAGATAAGACTCTTAGCAGCTGCCTCATGTTGGAGGAAACTCAGAGGTCTCACAGTACTTGAACTCATTTGGCGAAGATTCACCGTTGAGCGGTTATACTGCGGTATTGTCAGAATTGGATGATGTATTTGTGTCGAGAAAGCGTTAAGTCAACAAGTCAGAAAAGGGATTAAAAAATCCACCTCGAAATTCGGCTTCTGATAGCCCTTCAAGTCCGCCGTAAGAAGCCGTAAGAATCCTTCAAAGTCCGATACACGGAGAGCCCCTTATTGTTCCCACAAAACGAGGGTATTGATGGCTCTCAGAAAGAATGTTGCACGGACCTAATGGGACTGTGTGAGTAACTTACAGTAAGTTGCAAGTTGACAGGCATGAGGCAAAACTCCGGCAACCACGAAGATGGAGACTCCTCAGTGGAGAGCTGAACGTTACCACTGTACCTGGATTATTTCCGGTTCGCTCAATATAAGCAAAACCTTTCATTCCCCAAGTCTGTCCCCAAGTATTCATTATCTTCCAATAACTGAGCAATAAGGTGAGGATGAAGAGCTAGACCGGCGAGGACGCGCGTTACCGTGTCCCGTCTGGTGCAGTGTTGTATCCGACGATGACCACCTCGTGGTCAGTTTTCTTCTGATCACAAGCGGAAACTGACAGAAT